CAAAAAAAAAAAAAAAAAAAAGGAAGGAAGGAAGGAAGAGAAGAAAGGAAAGGAAAGGAAGGAAGTTTCAAAGAAAGAAAAGAAGATATTGAAAGGGACTGATGGATTTGGAAGAAAGAAGTCACAGAGTTGGAGATCTTTTGAGAGTCTTTGTTATCCACAGTAGAGTGCTGTGGCATCACAGCTCACCACAGCAACCTCAAACTCTTGGGCTTAAGTGTTTCTCTTGCCTCAGCCTCCCAAGTAGCTGGGACTACAGGCTCCTGCCACAACGCCCAGCTATTTTGGCGGGCGGGGACTCGCTCTTGCTCAGGCTGGTCTCAAACCTGTGAGCTCAGGCAAACCACCTACCTTGGCCTCCCAAGTGTTGGGATTACAGGTGTGAGCCACTGTGCCAGGCCCAGAGCTGGAGATCTTATTGAGGTCAAAGAACGTAAGAACAGTGAGAGTGGCTCGGTGCCTATAGCTCATCAGCTAAGGTGCCAGCCACATACACTGGAGGTGGTGGGTTCAAATCCACCCCAGGCCAACTACAACCAAAAAATAGCTGGGCTTTTGGCAGGCACCTGTAGTCCCAGCTACTTGGGAGGCTGAGGCAAGAGAATCGCTTAAGCCAGGGGCCCTCAAACTTTTTAAACAGGGGGGCAGTTCACTATCCCTCAGATCGTTGGGAGGGCCAGACTATAGGCCCTGGGACAAGTCAGCAGCAGCAGCAAAAACAATCAGTGGGCCAGATAAATGTCCTAGGCGGGACACATGTGGCCCATGGGTCATAGTTTGAGGACACTTGGCTTAAGCCCTAAAGCTGGAAGTTGCTGTGAACTGGGACGTCATAGCACTCTACTGAGGGCCACATAATGAGACTGTCTCAAAAAAACAAAACAAAACAAAACAGAACAGTGGAAGTGAGTGAGAGGGAGAAGTTTATAGTTTCTCAGGTGGAGGAACACCTAAGGACTTGTTAGGGCCAGGCCTGAGTCTCCAGGACACCAGCTGAGAGGTCTGTCATCTTGGGGGAAAGGATCACAACAGGTGACCAAATGTTCCATTCATCCAGCTGGCTCTGGTTCACAACTGGGGCTAACAAGTTTTTTGATGAAAAATGTGGCTTTTTTTTTTTTTAATGACAGAGTCTCACTTTGTTGCCCTTTGTAGAGTACTGTGGTGTCACAGTGCACCACAACCTCCAGCTCTTGGGCTTAGGTGATTCTCTTGCCTCAGCCTCTCGAGTAGCTGGGACTACGGGTGCCCGCCACAATGCCCGGCTATTTTTTGTTGCAGTTTGGCAACAAAAATAGGGGCCAGGTTTGAACCCACCACCCTTGGTATATGGGGCCGGCACCCTACTCACTGAGCCATAGGCAGTGTCCTAAATGTGGCTTCTTTTAAGGCAGAGGTTTATAAACTTGAATAATTCTAAGGTCCAGAAAAGTAATGTACACACAAAAAAAAACAACTGCTATGAGTATAATCAAACTTTATTTCACATGGTATAAGGTGGTAATAAATGTATATGCCAGAGATTATACTCTACAATTGACAATGAAAAAATATAATTTGGAAGTAGAAATAATCATTCAAAGTTTTGTGTTTCATACTTTAGTACTTCTCAGATTTGAAATCTGACATTCTTTTCTTATGCCTCAAGTTGTCAATCCACATCAGGTTGTGAATCCTGGGTAGCAATGGGCAACAGAGAATTCATCTCTGAATCCTTTAATTGGGAGAAATAGTTATTTTTATTTAAGTTTATAACAGGAAATAGCTGCTCACAAACATGGGTACTTCCAAACATGGACAGAATCTTTGCACAATGGTTTTTATATTTGGGATAACCATTCCCAAGATATTTGTAAAATTCGGGGATTCCAACATCGTCGTATTTGGTTTTCAGTATAGAATTGCACTGCAATTCAATAACTTCCATTTGCAGTTCTTCATTCACATGATTAATATTAATTGAGAAAGGTGAACTGAACAATACTAGTTCGTTTTCATAAAGTTTGAAATCAGAGCACCTTTTTTGGAATTCAGTCTTCAATTCTTTAATTTTTGGAATGTAGTTCAGGCCATCATTTTCATTTTCAGAAACTAATTTCAGGGTAGGGAAGTGGGCCAGATTGTTCCTTGTCAATTGCGTTTCCCAAAGACACAATTTTGCTAGGAATGAGTGAATTGAATCATATATTTGTGTAACCACTTGTGAACGTCCTTGAAGAGACATATTCAATGTGTTGAGATGGGTTGTAATATCAACCAAAAAGGCTAGGTCTTTGACCCAATCTTTGTTAGTAAGCTGAGGCACAGATTTTCCTTTAGAAGACATGAAAAAGTCTATTTCTTCCAGTAGTTCAAAAAACTGCTTTAGCACCATACCACGACTCAGCCACTTAACTTCCGTGTAGTAAAACTGGCTTCCATATTGTGCATCTAACTCACTGAAAAAAGGACCGAACTTTCTGTGGTTTAAGCCATGGGAACGTATCCAGGTTGTGATGTAAATTATGACATCCATGACATGGTCCATTTTTAACTTTTTAGCAGAAAATGATTCCTGGAGAATGAGGCCATGTACAGACTTAAGTTCTGTGCCTTTGCAAAGCCCTGCCACCTTAGATTTAAGTTTTGTAACGAACTGTTTAACACCAACCATTGCAGAACTACCATCTGTGCTAACACTTACTAATTTTGACCAGTCTACATTAAATTTTTTAAGACTTTCCTCAACACATAAAAATAAGTCATTTCCTGCGGCTGTGCCCGTCATGCATATCATGTCCAAAAGTTCTTCTATCACATCAAAAGTTTCATCAACAGCACGGATAAATACAGCTAACTGGGGGGCGTTGTTTACATCAGTGCTCTCATGAACTGCGATAGAGAAAGCCATGAATGATTTTGCTTTTCCTTGAAACTTGTCTTGTAAGTTCTCTGCCATATTGTCATCATGCTGAGCAACAATATCATCGGTTAGTCTTATATTTGCAAACACCTGCCTGTGTTCAGGGCACATGATTTCTGCTATACTCAAAAGACATTCTTTTATAAATTCCCCATCTGTAAAAGGTTTTGATGCCTGAGCAATCTTCTCACTTAAAACGTAACTACATTTCATAGCAACATCATTTAGTTTATTCATATCCAAAAGGAAATCATGTTGAAATTTCAGTCTTTCTTTCAGCTCGTTAAGTTTTTTATCTCGCATCTTTTCTGTATATCCATTATGGTTCTTGCTGTGGTTTGTCTCATAATGGTGTCTTAGGTTATGTTCTTTTGACACAGAGAGACTTTGTTTGCATATTAAACACGTAGGGACATTCTTTACCTCCACAAAGAAATAAGCTTTCTCCCATTCTTCTTGAAAAGTGTGGTTATCTTGTTCTGTCTTTTGTTTTCCCACTTTTGAAAGAAGACAAATGCATAAGAAACATTAAAATGTCATCTTTACTAAAGGAAAAAAGTACTACTTGTAAGAAAAAAAAAAAAAGAATTAACTAGGCCAAGCACAGTGGCTCATGCCTGTAATCCCAGCACTTGGAAGGCCAAGGCAGGTAGACTGCCTAAGCTCAGAGGTTCAAGACCTGAGCCAGAGTGAGACCTCATCTCTAAAAATAGCTGGGCACTGCAGTGCACACCTGTAATCCCAGCTACTTGGAAGGTGGAGGTAAGAGAATTGCTTATGCCCAGGAGTTAGAGGTTGCTGGGAGCTATGGCAACACAGCACTCTACCACACTCCACCTAGGATGACAAAGTAAGACTCTGTTTAAAAAAAACAAAAGAGGGCTTGGCACCCATAGCAGGGTGGTTCCAGAGCCAGCCATATACACTGAGGGTGGCAGGTTCGAACCCAGCCCGGACCAGCTAAACAACAATGACAAGTGCAACAAAAAATAGCCAGGCATTGAGGGAGGCACCTATAGTCCCAGCTACTTGGGAGGCTGAGGCAAGAGAATCACTTAAACCCAAGAATTTGAGGTTGCTGTGAGCTGTGATGCCATAGCACTCTACTGAGGGCGAGAGCTTGAGACTCTGTCTCAAAATAAAATTTAAAAAATAAAGAGGCTCGGCACCTATAGCTCAACCGGCTAAGGCGCCAGCCACGTACACCTAAGGTGGCGGGTTCGAATCCCCAGCCCGGACC